ATTTTACGAGTTAAAATCTGCAATTTTGCACATGCTTTTATTATTGCTTTTACTTTCAGAATATAACTTTCTTATAGTTAATCAGGAAACTTTCCATTCGTCTTTTTATAAACCTGCAAGTAATCTAATGTTTTGTACAATTTAAAATTAAACTTATAGCGGTTACGCATTATTGAATGTATTTGACTTTTTAATGGTCATTGAACAAACCGAATACATGTTGTATTATCTATTTTATTCTTAAATCCCTCCACGCATACTGATATTTAAGAGCGGACAGGATCACCGCCATCTAGATTGATATAATATAAAAAATGACAAAGTTTGAACCTCCCCAGTGACCTTGACCTTAGTGGTAGAAACCCGAGTCTTGTTTGCGACACACCATACATCTTTGGTTATTTCATATGTGAAAGAAAAATTACAATCCTTCTATTCATACTGAAATTTCAGAGCGGACACAACCACCACCTTCTATTTTTACATAACATAAAAAAATGACAAAGTTTGAACCCCCACAGTGACCTTTACCTTAGTGGTAGAAACCCGAGTCTTGTCCGCGACACACCATACATCAATGGTTATTTCATATTTGAAAGAAAAATGAAAATACTTTCATGCATACTGAAGTTTCAGAGCGGACACGACCACCACTGTCTATATGTATAAAGCGGGACGGACGGACTGACGACCTGACAGACGGACGGTTCGATTTTGATATGCTTTCCTTCGGGGGCATAAAAAACCAAAAACGTTACAAGCTGCATAGACTTGCGCAATGAACGAACAAAATTTCAGAGCTGGATTTTCTGGCAGAGTAGGAAAGTTTTCTAATTCTCAAAATCACACAAGATACAATACAAGAGGACATCATGTGCGTAATTGTAGATTTAAGAAAAATGAAATATTTTCTGTATTTCACCGACAAAATTGTTCACGATTTAGGAAAAATAACAGCAATCATAATTTGAAATCAAAGATTTAGTGCTGGAAATGTAATGATTTTGGATATATTATGCGAGAATGTTGTAAACAACAATTTTTACGACAGAAACAAAATAAATTTTCAGGAAAACTAGCAAGTTCCTGTCACAAAGGGGTCTCTGACAGGAACAATAAAAAACCAAAAATAGTACAGCGTTAGCGAGTAGTTCTAATTCATTTTTGATAAAAATTAAAAACTATAAATACAGATCAGTAGTCGATTCAGGTACTGAAGTTTGTCTTCTGCATCGCAGAATATATAGAAAATTGAACAATCCTCGTAAAATTATAAAACAGAAAATAGGTTTTCATTCACTTCGTTCGCTCGAAAATTGATTTCTTAAAACTCTGTAGAAGAAGAAGAAGAAGAAGAATTTATTCATTATAGTGACTTGCGATACATCTATATAGTACAAACAAATATAAAACAATTACAGAACAAATAAATCGCCCGGCCCCATGGACCTATAAGTCACTGTTTATAGAAAAACGTCATTTATTTAAACATAGACAATCGAGTTGATTTAACGTCTTATGAATAAATATATATATATATGAATAGTATTAATATGTTTAAAACATAGCACCTGCCTAAACTTATCATTAAAGTGTATATAGTTCGATGATAAACTTTCCTGAAAATCCTTAAGTTCGAGTAGGTAATACATATAATTACACTTCAGTATTTCTATAAATGATATTCCGTCTATGTAAATAAGCTTTCACTAAGTATTTTGCAATCTTTCTAACGTGGTTTGAAAACAAGAAGATTAATTTGTCATCGACATTCAAATCCATAAATACATTATCATTTAATATTTCACCAAATGATTGCGATCTTATTTCATTATATTTTGGACAATTAAGCAAGAAATGTACTTCGTTTTCAACACGACTGTCATTGCATAGCCTACAAAGTCTATCATTCAACGGTTCTCCAATATATCTTACTGTTTTGACTCTAAGTGGAAGGATCCCGCATCTAAATTGTGCTATAATGGAGCGTTCATATTTCGACAAATTAAATAAAACATAGTCCTCTGTGTTAAAATTGCACTTAAATAATTTGTAAGTTCTAAGCTTTGGAGTGTTTTGCACAGTTTCTATCCACTGTCTACTATAGAGGGTTTTTAGTTTCAGTTCAGCGGTTTGAAGATCAATTATGGATCTGCTGTAATAAGCATGCGAGAGATCAAGGAGGGCAAAATTTTTGATTTTATCTCACTTTCACCCCGTTATTGGGTTTCATAGCATATAGTCTTGATCAAACCTTTTGGTAATCCCATCGCTTTTTCAAAATTTATCAAAAACTATTCCGAACTAAGCCCTTTCAAACCCCCTACCCTAACGAAATTGGTAAACCCCCCCCAAGCAAACCCGGGGAAAATGCCCGCCCATTTTGGGGGTAAAAGGGGACCCCCAAATAATATCTTTATAATCTATTGTGAAAGTTTTTTTAAAAGTTTTTTTATCCCCAAAAAAAGAAAAGAAACCCGTAATTTCCTGACTGGAACAACAAAAATTTTAAAAACAAAATTTTTTTATATGATTTTAAACCCGAAATCCGTAATAACCCTATTTTATTAATTAACCCCCCAAAACCCGGCTGGCTGCCTTTCCGATTGCCTCAAAAATGACCCGTTAAACGATAACATTTCATCAAATATAACACCAAGATATTTGTATTCAGTAACTACATCCAATGTATTGCTACCAACATGATAGTTGAATTGTGTTCTTGGTAGACGCGGTTTTCTGAAGTGCAAACATTTTGATTTCTCTGTATTTATCAAAACGCGCCATTTTTTTACACCACTCATGAAGTATATCTAACATTTTTTGTAAGTCAATTTCTGATTTTGCGATCAGAGCAATGTCATCTGCGTAAAGTAAAATAGAAATCGAGGCATTGTTAATAGTCACACCAAGTTCAAGGTCATTAATTTCTCGGACTAGATCATTTACAAAAATTGCGAAAGGCGTCGGCGAGAAATTACTTCCCATGGCGACGCCTGACTTACAGTCAAACCAAGATGTAACGTTGTTGTTTATTCGAATACATGAAATTGTGTGTTTGTACATACTTTTCACTGCATTGTAAACTTTCCCGTCTATTCCATTTAGTAGAAGCTTGTAAAATAACATATCTCTATCTACAAAGTCAAAAGCATGATGTATGATTATACCTGTATTTAAAAACAATGGAAAGCCAAGAACACAACCTATGAATTACAGACCGATAACACTCCTGCCTTGCATTTATAAACTCTTTGAAAAAGTATTACACGAACGATTAAACAATTGGGTAAATGAAAATAAAATAGCTTTCCCAAATAGGCAGCAAAATGCTTACCAAAAGTGCACAGGAGCAATAACAGCATCCTTTAATTTACAAGAAGGCATTTACCAGAATAATGAACTAAATAGTAATGTATATGTATGCATGTTAGATACTAAACAGGCTTTTAATACGGTTTGGTTAGATGGTGTTTTCTACAAAATGTCAAATTTAGGTATAACTGGTAAAATTTGGACACTTCTAGTTGATGCACACACAAATATGTCTAGTTGTGTCGCTGCTAATGGCCTTTAATCTACGTTCTTCCCAGTAAGACAAGGCATTAGACAAGGAGGGACGATCTCTACTTGGCTCTATAAATTGTTTATAGATGATTTGATAAACGAATTAGAAAACAGTGAATTAGGAGTAAACATCCTTCATCTTTCTGTAGGGGCGACAACTCTTGCAGATGATATAGCCCTATCAGCAGCTAACCCCACAGGCCTTCAAGAAATGCTTGATATTACACATAAATATACATGTAAATACAGGTACAACATAAACCCACTGAAAAGTAACATTATAGTATTTGGTAAAAAACGAAAAACACCCCAGGTTCAACTATCAATAGGAGGTTGTCCTATCGATCAGGTTCGTAGTGTTAAACATGTAGGAATTTTCCTAAATGACAAACTAAATGACACAGACAAGGTCGAGCGTGCATGCGAAAAAGCAAAAGCATCCCTTTTTTCTCTACTATCACTTAAAATAGACCCGGCCCACATAAATCCAATCAAATCGGCTTCGCTTATTTCAAACATTTGTATACCTAGATTATTGTATGGTTGCGAATTGTGGTCTAACCTTAAGAAAACTGACTATAAACGACTTGATAGATTTGTTAGACTAGCTGCAAAAAAGATACAAGGGTTCTCTGTGCTAACACGAACGGATATGTGTCTTAGTATGTTAGGCTGGAAAAATATTGAATCTGAAATAGAGCTTAGAAAACTAGGGTTTTTAAGACAATTATGTGACATGCCAAACACTGTTTTAGCAAAACATGTGTTTAATGTGAGATTATCAATTTATGTATGTACCGCAGAGGAAAAACAGCGTGGGTTTGTCCCAGATATCGTAACTATTCTTAGGAAATATAATCTCTCAATGTACTTAATAAAGTATATAGAAAGTGGTGTTTTTCCATCAAAAGAGTCATGGAAAATACTATGCAAAACAAAAATGAATATTCTTGAAACAGAAAAATGGACCCTAAGGATGGTTAATGATGATGACTTTAATAGATTTCGTTTTTTACATACAAACATAGAGAGATCAATTCTATGGGAATGTTCTTATAACTCAACAAGCTTAGAACACGCTGTCCAGATTAGCAAATTATGGATAAGCAATTGTAATAATACAAACATTTCAATGTGTCTTGATTGTGGAACACTCTGCTATGATATCATAAAACATGTTGTTGTAACTTGTAATAGAATGGACATTTTTCGCGAAGAATTGTTTAAAACTTTGTATAATTTATTTGGCAAAGATGTTGTTTCAGAAATATTATTAAGTGATAGCGAAACGAAGCTTCAAAAACTTATAGGCAGACGCCTGTTATCACTACAAAACAGGAATGTTCATAAACATTTTTTAAGAATAGCAATCGCTTATGTTTACTATTGCATTAAAAATGCACGATGTATGCAAATCTCGCAGAGACGATGATTTTGCTTTAAAAGTACCATGTTAAATATGCGTTGTCATAATTATGTCTTTTAGAAAGAAAATACGATACTGGCATCAGTGATAGCGGTATAAGCATCTTAAGTATACCACAAGAAAAATATATATAATGAAAATGTAAATATTTATGTACTCATATAATCTATATCAATTTGATGATTATTTCTAGTTTAAGTATAAAATTTGATCTGTACTTAACCAATATGTTATGCATGTTACTAACACCAATGTTTCATAGTTATGCAAAATTGTATATATGTTTAATTGTTAGCTTTCACTTTATAACATTGTATTATTATGTAAATCACTCAGATGTGGAAATAAAGAGTATATATATAAATATATGATCCTCACACGATCTTCCTCGCCTGAATCCATTCTGCTCATCGGCCAATAAGTTTTCGTTTTCTAAATAGAATGTTATTCTTTTGTTTATCAAAGAGCTATATAATTTACCTACACATGAAAGTAAAGATACACCTCTATAGTTCAACGGTAATCGTTTGTCAGAACTCTTGTCTTTTAGAATCGGACATATAATTGCCTTTCTCCAGTCGCTAGGAATAACACTCGTGTCGAAAATAAGTTGAAAAAGTTTATGCAATACTGCTATAACCGGGGGAAATTTTAAAACTGCATAAAGTAAATTATCGATGCCGCAGGCCGACTTCGATTTGGCACTCATTACAACGTTAACGATTTCTTCGATGGAGATATTATTATTCAGCAGTTCTTTTGGGGCGTAAAGAGGGTCAGAAATTGACATTTCAATTAATATATGTTTGTGTAACTTCGCTCTATTGTAGAATTCGGAGTCAAACTCGTCACTTCCGGTGCTATTATACAAGTTTTCGAAATCCCGTTTCCATTTGTCAAAAACTGCATTTTCATCTTTATCAATGCGCCCATGCTCATTAACTATTTCCATTGGTATCGAAGAGTCGGCTAGGTGCATTTGGTTCCATTTCTCTGTCAAAGCTTCGTTCCAGTACGGCTTAGCATTTTTGTTACGTTTACTTGTCCGGCGTGATGCATTATAACGTGGGATGCTGTGATTCATTTCATTGGTAATTGTTTCACACAACTTGTTATACAGTGAGTCTATTTCCTCTTGACTTTCCCGTGATGATTCTATGCTTTCTATAATTTCTAATAGAGCCCGTTTTGCTATATCTCTATCCATGAAATTATCGGGAATGAGATTAAGTTTATACCTTAACTGTGACGGTGTATTTGTATTATTATCTAATTGTCCGTTTTGAGGGATACAATAATCACAATTCAATGAGATGTGTGTCAATAACGCCGAGTGATCTGGTAGATATGATCTATCACCAATATATTCGTGTAATTCGTATTCATCAATAATACATTGCATTGATAATATTTTGAACATAATGCACTTTTGAAAAACGTCATGCGGCACACATATATAATCCACTACTGATTTTCCCTTTGGCGATATACTAGTGAATGCGTCATTTTCGAAGCGAGAATTCAAGGTGCAAAACTTTGAATCTATCAAGAAATCTATAAATTCTCGTCCATGCTGATTGATACAATTATCAATAGGTTTTCTTTCAGGCAAAGAGTCAACACTTTGTAATATATCTGATAATGTCCCTATTCTGGCGTTAAAATCAACAGCAAGAAAAATTGTATCATATTCACTATTTAAGTATATTATGGAAAGAATGTGTGCAAAAAAGGTCTGCGCATCTCTTCCCCAAACTGAGTTTTCCGGTGGTAGATATGCAGATATTACCATTGAACAGTAATTTGTATGCTTACATTTAAATTGCAGAGCAATGATTCCTTCAAATGAGCTTTCGATTATTGAAATTTCAAACACCTTAAATAAACGCGCTTTTACTAGAATTCCAACACCTCCCGAACCTCGAACTGCATTGACATGAATATTTTTACGATTATTACCGAACCAGACGTATCCATCTACATTTATGACTTTTTCCCTAGTTAAGTGAGTCTCACATATTGAAAAAATGTCAGCATCAATGGATTTAATAATAGCGCATCTTAAATCATTATTATTTTCAGTCCAACCGCTTACATTTAGGTGAGCTATTTTCAACATGCCTTGGGGCCAGGATTCATTCTATTGCATTCCGGAACTAGCATCAACTCGGAGCAGAAGGTTTCGCGGTACGTTCTTTGATACGACCGTTTGCGTCAATACGGAAGTTGTTGCCCTTCGGTATATTACGTAGGAGCATTCTGGCGTTATCTTCGTTGATACGTTGATACGGGCTTTTACTGTTCTTAAGGAAAACATTATTATAAGAAGCATGGTTTTGCAATGACATTTTTTTCCTGAGCACAGTAATTTTCTCTTGCAGTGTTCTAAAACTTATTTTCACCCATCCTGGTTTGTCGGGGAACCGTGAAGGGAGTCTTCTAGCAGCCTGTACAGATACACTATCGTTAGTTTCTTCCCCCAAGGCTTTGATGAGATCTTTTGCTCTAGCGAGGATATCTTCGCCTTCATTAAATGGAAGTCCGCTAGCGATAACTGTCAAATCTGGGTCATTTAGCGGATTATTTATTTGCACAGACGTCTGACCTCTTTGTGTACCGTTAATAGATTGATCCGTAACCCTTGAATGCTCTAGTGATTCTAACCTGTCTTGTAAGTTCTGAACACTTGTCAAGAGACCATCAATGCGTAAACTCTCTTTTGAGAGGTCAAAGGTCAACTGATCACGCAATATATTTATTTGTGTATCGATATGATGTGTCATCTCATTTTTGGCACTGTCAATCTTTTTTTCTAAGGAGACCTTCAATTCTTCCTGAGTATGTTTAAAGTCTTTCACTGTTATCAGAATCTCTCTTACCTGGCCTGCAAGTTCCATGACACATCCCATTCCTGATTGTATATAACTCTGTATATAACCTATAACCTATACTAATTGGTAGAAATGATCGTTATTCGAAATATGTTTATTAATAGATCGGTTAATTAAAATGCATCTTTAAGTAATAGATAGCACTTAATCATGAGCTTCAAATTGATTATTTACTTTATCCATGAATAACATGTGTGTATATAATGGCTTTGCGACAAGCATGGATCCAGACCAGCCTGCGCATCCGCGCAGTCTGATCAGGATCCATGCTGTTCGCTATCAGTTTATCTACTTATTATACGGTTTGGAAGCGAAAAGCATGGATCCTTATCAGACTGCGCGGATGCGCATGCTGGTCTGGATCCATGCTGGTCGCAAACGCATTATGTTGGTTTTGTCATGACACGGCTCATAAATATGTGAAACTGTCAACACTCATTATATAATGTTTAAATTGGGATAAGTCTTCTTATTGAAATTAACAAACGTTAAGAGCATTAGTTAATAAAATATGTTTAAAATTCAATATGAAAAGTAATTATTAAATATCAAATATTACATTAAAGATAAAATACTTATACTAGAGTACATCTTTCATTGGAATTCTTATCCTATGCATTTTATGGCAGTTGTCTTGTTATTCATATATCTGAAACAAAATTATGTTTATTGTAAATAATATTTATTAACCGATCTGATTATGGACGAAAATTCAAAATTATTGGTCTAACGATCACTGTCGTCCAACAGACAGAGAGGTGCGCGCGACCTCGCCGGTACAGTAAAACACCGCCTGACTAGACACTATTACAGTCAGCCTCTAGGATGTGAAACCATGTACATATAACCATGAAAAAAACATCTTCTTCGATGTACAACTATGTACATATAACCATGAACACCTTCTTCGATGTAAAACCATGTGACATAAGGTTCTACGATGTATGGCCGTCAACGTCAACAACAACAACAACAAAATTGTAGAACCAAATATACTTTTGTTCCTGTCTTCAACCAAAGAAGCCGAAAACCTCCGTTTATCAATATAATGTGTTTTTCTATATGTTATATAAACTTAAAAAAAACAGAGAAATACTTATGATAACTTAGTATGTAAAGCAGTTATTTGTGCGACGCTATGAGAAAAAGATATCCAAAATAAATACCTCATGAACATTTTTGAGAATTGTGCAACAGCAGACAAATTAAAAAAAATACTCAAAAACATTGCTATATAAATAAAGAAGTATATTTCTATCATCACTTTGCCGTATTCTTAAATTCAAGACAATCTCTTTTACAACGACGATACAACAAGAAAAGAGTTTACAGATATGCCATTAAATAATCGAATTTAACTATCAAATTGTGTATATAAAGTTTACGTTTACATATAGATCAATTTAGAAGAATCTTCAAGGAAATAAAACATTTATGAACAATTATGGATTTCAATTTAAACTAAAATCTACATACTATCTTCAATGATTTAAAATTTCCTCAACCAAGACATGCTGATATCAACATTCTACAGCGGGTACCTGTAAAAATAACAACGTTAAACAGGAAGTGTTCAATGCGCATGCACGAGAATAGACAATAGAACGTGGACATTTCATCATTTTTGTTTACTTTATTATTATTTTTGTAACCTTTCTGCTGTTATCATACATATAATTCTGTCAAATCAAATACTTTAAAGTTTTTCTAATTAAAATTCTTAAAATATTTTGTTCTTTGAAAATTGTTAACTTATTTGTTTGATGTTTAATATTTTAAGAATTGGAGGGAAATTGACAATTAATGACAAACCTATTTAGCTATATATTAAACGTAACTTTCTATAGCTTATAAAATGTTTTGTTGAATAACAGTTTTTTACTCTCTATATAGAACAACTCTCTATATGACAAATAATAAAGAATGACAGATTGTGTCCCTGTTACAAAATACTGGTCTGAATTACCTCAAAATGAAACGCAAAGTATACTTATTTCCCATATTTTGTATGATCTTCCGATCAAAGTTTTCAAAATCATCATAAGCTTTGATTACATAGTAAGGGAACTAATTAAACTGAATTATGACAAATATAATCATCATATACTCTCCCTTTAATCATAACCGGTATCTAATCCAGTTAACGTACAAATTGCACATTTCTATCTGGTGAAGGAAACAAAATATATAGAAAAGGAAATGAATGATTGAAACACTTCTATTGAATTTAATAACACTGATTATAGTGATACATACTTATAAATACATCCGGACATCTTACATGTTTCGTATATGTTAATACATGTATGTATAAATGTTTATATTTTGTATGTGTTAAAATTTCAATTTAAGGCACATTATGCTTTAGAAATTAATAATGTCTAAATTCTTTAGAAAGGTCAGATATGTGTTTGATAATATTTTGATAATGAATTTAGAGGATCTAAGATGTGAAAAAGCTGCAGAAAGTAACAAGGAATGTGCGGTGATGTGTTGTGTGTTGTAAAGGTAGCACACTGTAAACAAAGTACATTGTAGTATTTTGACATCCATACAAAATACTTATTGTCCAACAATATTGACCTGGCACTTCATTAATTTCCGTAAAGGTCATGTGATAAACAGTGGTATCTAACATATAAATCGATATCTTTGTTAACTACACACGCCAATGAGTTGTGGTGTATTGGTAAAGATGCCTGACTCCTGATCTGAAGTTCCCTGGTTCGATACCTCACTAACCCCACGTTATGAGAACATGCAATTTTTTATTCCATTTTGAAATTTACTTGCAAGAATTACTTTGAAATCGTTTTACTACATTTGGATTTTAGGATACCTTTTAAGTAGTGTTTTTTTATACAATTTTATTGTTTTATTTGATTTCATTATCTTTAATTATTAAAAAGGACAGCACGTTTACAATTTCAAATTAAAATACTACACAGATAGAATACACAACCAAAAATCAAGACGTTTTGCACGAGTTAAGAGAGAAATGGCAATTTTAAAGTAAGAAGAGAAAAAATATATAAGTGGCTGAACCAGGATTCGAACCTACGAGTGTACGTCTGTTTTCTTGAAGTGAAAACCCTTAACGACTGTGCTAAGAGGGATTTGTAATTTAGACCATTTAACAACTGGTTATATACATTCATATCGATTTACAAATAGATAGTAACGTTTACGGAATTTACCGACTATGGGGTCAAATGCAAGAGTGCCAGGTCAATGTTGTTGGACAATACTTGCTATTATAGTACATATTTCCAAAGAGCAAAGAAAGCAAAGTCCATCTTTTGGGTCAATTAGTAATCCGGAACATGTGGTAAGATACCAAAAGTAAAACAAGTTTTGAGGGATATAAATGATATCTTTTCAGGAGCTTAATGGGCCTTTAATTGTGTTTCTTAAATTTTAAAAGAACAAACATAGTTAAGAACTGTATACTATATTTATTGATATTGTAAGTCACACATTTCACTTTTTTTCGTGCTATATATAAAATGCAAGTGAAATTTGCTTCTTTATAAATAAACATGCGCAAGGTATTTGTGCAGCTGTGGAAGATCTCTTCTCTAATTGGTCAAATGGTGAGAAAGTAAGAGATTCTTATTGAAGAATTGCATTTGCGAACACTTACAACATATCGGCTATTTCCAACAGTGTCCGGATAATCTCTAATAATGAATACTCGACGAGTTGTTCCGAAGTAAAAGGACCAGTAAAATTTTGTGTATGTGCGTGTTTTTATTGATCTCGTGCGCACGAGATTTTATGACGTGCGCACGAGTTACTTACTCGTGCTAACGATATAATATGTCATGCGCACGAAATACTATGTCATGAGCACGAGATAATTTAGTCGTGCACACGAGTTACTATATGTCGTGAGCACGAGTTATTGTGTAGGCGCACGAGATAATGAAGTCGACAAGTTTCTTAGTCATGCGCACGAGATAACTAAATATATTATAAGAAGTACTATAATGACAATTTTGAGTATACAAATCAAATTTCACCATGCAACAGGAAACACTTTCAGGGCTTACTTACTGAAAACAATTAAACCATTTCATTAAACCAGTTTCAAGATATTTTCTAAATAATTTCCTTTATCTATTGTAATATGTCGCGGCTGATATATCAAGATTGAAACAAACACTAAATAAAATGTAAATGTAATAAGGAAGATATCCCAGCACGTTGATAACTTTGATTAAATATATAATTTTAGAGAATAATGCATGACGCGATTGTTTTGTGAAGTGGAAGTGCGCGTCAGACACTTGAAGTTTGTAAAATCCCGTCCTGCTTTATATCAATTAATAAAACTATTTTGTCTTGTTTTTTGTTGTTGTTAAAGTATATATACATTTTTCCTAACTTAAGAAAATATGATGTCATTGTTATGTAAGCATTATTTAAGTGGTATACATCACGGTGCATATCCATATCGGTACCCTCTTTGCGAAATATATATACTCAATGCACGACATATGCTTTTATTTGCGTTAATCGTTAAGTATGTAATATTTACATAAATAAAGAAATATTACATACCTAACGATTAACGCAAATAAAAGCATATGTCGTGCCTTGAGGGTACCTATGTGTAAAAAAACGAGAGGGTACCTGTGATATAAAAAATCAAACGAAGAGAGGTAGCCCGTGCCGCTGCAAAACTGAAAGTAGGGTGTTTTTATGAATTTTACAATTATTTTTGACAATGTTCTGCCATTTGTTCGAAGATGATATGTAAATGAACATACTAAATATGTATGATGCATATATAATCAAGCCACAGGTTCATTTCAGCCCCAAAAATATGTCGAGGTGATGGGCGAAGCAAGACATGTCGATTTTTTGTAGCTTATTGTGAATTTGTATTACATGAAAAACGGGAACATAACAAATCAGCACATAGATAAAACATTCTAGTGTTCCGTGGTATACATCTTTTCTACGTGTCATACCTTCTTTCCTTATTATATTGAATATTTACTGTATTGTTATCCATCGCTGGTTTGTTTTTAGCAGAGAGTGGCCTGTGCATGTGCAAAGAGGGTACCGTTTCAGCAGATTTCGCAAAGAGGGTACCGATATGGATATGCACCGTGTACATTGTAATACCCCGGTATTATGTGACACTTATGTGACTTTTCCTATTTTATGGAAAGTTTATTATTTATTGTAATATTCAATGTTAAATTTCATTTAAAGTCTTGATTTTTCTTAGCAAATTTAGCCATTTTTTGTCTGAATAAATTTAGATCGTTTTCTACCCGTTTTTGGTAGATAGTTTTCTACCCGTTTTTTTGTAGATAGTTTCTACCCGGTTTTCGTATATAGTTTTCTACCCGTTTTTTTGTAGATAGTTTCTACCCGGTTTTGGTATATAGTTTTCTACCAGTTTTTGGTAGACAGTTTTCTACCAGTGTTTGGGAGACAGTTTTCTACCAGTTTTTGGTATCGACCATTTTTGGGTAGTTACCATTCTACCAGTTCTTGGTCGGTTCTACCAATTCTTGGTTTTTACCCATTTTTGGTCATTTCTACCACTGCCTACTATAAAAAAAAGAAAATTCTTGGTCACAAAAAAAAGTTTAGATTTAGGAATTCTTGGTAGTAGACGTACGTTAATTTGTCTGCTGAAATCTTAAATTTAATGTTTGATTTAAGTAATAAACATGTCAAGTTTATTAAAATACTAGAATTATATCTAGTTGAGTTAAATACATAGCTTAGATATTTTTATACAACTGATATTAGAATTTTATATAACTTTTACAAAATAACATTTAAGTAACTGATAGAGATTTTTACTACACTGTTTATTGAAGTAAATCTGGTAATCTATTGTCACCGCGGAGTAAAACTGATACACGCAACACGGAGTTTTTTGTTCATCAGTACTAAATATTATTTTGAAGGTGTAGCGGTGCTAAATTATTTTAAAGTGATTTTGTGAGCTGTTTTGAGTTATTATGAGAGCTGTTTGTTGATATAAATTATTCGTGATTTTTAACAATTATTATTGTTATTAGAAATGTTAACTTGTTGAATAAATTTTATAACTGTGTTGCCTGATTACTATCAGATGAGTTGGAGATCTTCACATCACATCAGTTCTGTACCTGATTGTATTAATACCTTGAAAGCCTGATAACCAATATACAGTTAGAGTAAAGGGTATCCAGCATACTTAGAGTCCCCGACCCACTAGACCGTAACACAATTGGCAGTTCTGGGCATTTTTAGTGTTTTTGGAAGTTAGATTCTTGAACTTAAATTTGTCAATACAAAATATATTATTTTTACTGTTATTTCTTTACATACTTCAAATTTATGTTCCTTATTAACCACATCTTATGTGACAATGTTCAAAACAGTAGCACCAATATCTTAAAATCTATCTCCCCTTGAACTTAGATTTTTTTACTTGAAAAAATGACGGACGGACGTTAAATTGTTTTAAAAGTTCGCGGTTCTTTTAAGTTTAGAAAAGTACCATATACCATTTTGTCGATGGAAAATTACAAACGACTCAAGCAAGTTTTTTTTTCATATTTTCTGATCATAGCGTTCAGCTCTAAAGAACAGCAATTAAAGTTCAAACCTGGTTCTGAGTGCATTATTAATATGAGTTTATTGCCGAATCATTTTGAATAGAACGTATTCATGTCCTCTTTTTTACAATATTTATTCATCTGTTTTTATTCAATAATTATTTAATAACAAAACTTAAAACCAACCATTTTTGCACATTTTTGTAGTTGGGTTGTATCTACACATAATGTATTTCTTTAGTCATTTACCTCCTTAAGCTGACTTAAATAACGCTGAATACGAATAGTGTAAAACTTCATGTCCTCTCGAAGCTCTATGTTAAAAATAAATATAACATTCATTATACTGAATGTAACGAAGCACGACAACTTAATATGTGATTAAACGACTTTTCTGGGATCCGAACATTTACGAAACGAACGCTATATCACTGCCACATTACTCACTAAGCATTGTATAATTGAGTCGTAGAAAATTCTGGTGATAAATGTTTGCTTAATATGCACGGTATGTGTTACATTTAGTTCTAAAATTAAGTGATAAAAAAAACTGATTTTCTTCAGTCAAAATACCTATTTACCTATAAGAAGATGATAATGTATATAGCTGAATTGCTTAAA